CTTCACTGCCCCGGACTCCCTGCCCTCATACGCACTAGTGCTTGGCACCTGACCTCCCTGTCTCCGTCCTGTCCTCCTGGATGCCCTGACTTGAGCCTCTGAGGTCTCTGAGTCTTGGACTTGAGGGAAAAACCTAAGCAAGTCACAACCCTCGTGCCCTGGCCAGAGCTGCTGTCCACAAGCCAGAGCTCTGCTGACACAGACTGGACTCAGCTCCTCCAAGCCCCTTTGCAATGGCATCTGGGTTAGTACGAATTCAGTAAAGGAGCAGCCCCTTCCCTCTGGCCTCCACCTCCTCCAGTGAATACTTCCTGTGGCCCACTTGACCCAGAACAGGGGCACCATGAACTTGGTAAGATGGGCAGCTGCTGGGTGAATCCCCCAGAGCAGCCAGGCTGTGCTGGCACAGAGGAACCTGCAGCTGTTTGCTGCTCCTGCGTGTCCTGTGTTCCTTGCCCTTCAGGAAGGAGACAGCAGAAGCAGACTGCTCTCACTGCCTCTGTTCTTCCTCCCAGGGCCCCCCAAGCCTTCAGTGTAGCACGGCTATGAGCAGCCGAGTGAAGGGAAGGTATTTCTGCTCTAAGAGCATAGACTGATAGCACTGAAGTATAAATCAAAGTGGAGATGTTACAGGAACAGCTCTGGATCCAAGAGAACTGGAACGGGAAGCGAGCAGCTTGCACCCCCTCCACCCTCCCATGCCTGGAGCTCTGAGGTTTGCACTGCAACAGGGCTTTGTTAGGTGGGGCCAAGGTAGGGAGTGCTGGCCAGAGACAGCGGGCAAGGATCTGGAGACCGGGTTTACTTCCCTGACCGAGTCCCTTAGCAAAAGGCAACCTCTGCCCACACTGCTTCTCAACCCACCCACCGCGGAGGAACAGATTTTCTTGCTGTTTTCATTTCTGTTTTATTATGGATGTAAAATAAACTGATTGCACGCTTGGCTGTAATGTGAAATTTTTATGAAAGTTTCTAAGTACTGTCAGCTTTTATGATCACTCACTGCAGATCGCTACCCTCACCACCTGGAGCCAGCTCAAGGGACGCACTGAGGGGTGCTGCTTTGCAGCGTCTCTCCTCGAAGACCAGGTTTTCTCCCCACTCATGGGGTCAGCTCTGCTGCGCTGGCCCTAGGGTCCCTGCTATGGGCTCTGCCTCTGTCCTTTCTACAAAGAACCTTCGTCAAGGACCCATTTACAGGTTCTGTTTTGATTTTTCTACACCCCTGTAACCTATACAGCACTGTCTTCAAAAAGCACATGAAACAGTTTTTACCACTGTTAATTCCAAATCAGTTGTGGCACAGGTTCAGCATCACTAAAGTGAAAAATTCAAAATTTGAAGCAGTGCTGATCCCAAGTGTTGTAGTCAGGGTTTACGAGCAAAATGTTTCATACAGGACACACGATTTACAACATGATTTTATGACAGTCAGCCAAAGAGTCAAATTCGAGAGTGAGGGAGATCTGCTCGTGTACTAGAGACCCAAACAATCCAGCTGAGGACCTCAGTCCTACGGCAATGTCCTGCACGAGTCCAGTTGAAGATCTAGAGCCCATAACAATGACTCATGCAAGCTTGTATCAATGATCTGTACTGGGAAGGCCCAAAGGTCAGCGGTGGAAGCTAGAAAGTCTGTACCAGCAGATGAAGGATCTGTGCCAGCAGGCTGAGGGAGCTGCGCTGGAGCCAGGAAGCGATGCTCAAGGTGAAGACCAGGGCTCCCCCGAAAAGAACTGCAGCCAGTATCAGCAGCCCAGCTCTTCCAATGATGAGAATAGCCAGGTTCTTATCAGGAAAGCCAGGGCAACAAGCTTCTCCAGGAGAATCCACAGCACACCATCTTCCCTACGGATCTCCTTTTATGCTGATGGCAACGATCCTCAGGTGGGCCCTCCACACCCCGCACCACGCTGATCCAGTCCAGCTGGATGCTCTGAGTTGGCCATTAGTTAATCCATGACACCAAGCAATTTGGATAGGGGACATTCAGCCTGTATATGTCCAAAATGGCCCAGCCTCATTGAGCTGTCCATATATGCCAATAGTAGCAGTTGTTACAGATAAATATTTCTATCAGTTCAACTCCTCGTTCAGTGCTTAACTTAGATCGTGTGTTAACATTTTTTTGTATTTTTGTTTTGTTTTTACCATATGCAGCTGTCATTGACTTTAGATAATAAACTCCAGAGTGCCAAGACCATTAATTCAACCCAGAAGATTCAGGTATCAGGTATCTTACTTTGAGTCTGATTTGGCCTGGATTGAGATGCCACAGACTCAAAGTAAGAAAATTAGTCTTTCTCTAAAATTTTCTATACAGTTGTTTTTAAAAAGGAAACTTTTTGGGGGAGGGGTCAATTTTGAAATCCTCCATTGGCCAAATAAAGGGAGCAATTAGAAATATGGGTACTCTAGAATTAGGTGGAAAGAGAAGACAGGACAGACAGCACAGCGAAGCCGGGGGAGAAGGGAGATGAGATCTAATGACATTGTATGCTTAACCCAATTTGAACTGGGTTTTTGTCTCTAATAATCAGAGGTCTTTATCACATATTGAGACTCAGAAAATGTCTGCATAAATAGCTACAGATCACGCAGAAATCAATTAATTGATAAACTTGTCCAGTTGACTCCAGAACTAATAGTATCTCTACTTCATAATCTGAAACTTCCAGGAAGCTAAGAAAGTAGGAAACCTCCAGAATCAGAAATCAAAAGAACAGGCACATGCCCAGGCCTCCCAATGCCTGGGTCTCCCAATGCCCGGGTCTCCCAGTGCCCGGGCCTCCCAGTGCCCGGGCCTCCCAGTGCCTAGCCCTCCTAGCAGCTTCTCCAGTGGATCCCTGTAGGGTACCCCATTCCTTATCCTGCCTCTAACCTCCCATCTCAACCTTGAAACTGGCACCCTGGGAACAGGAACCAGGGTCCAGATCTTTTAAAAATTCGCTATAGAAAACAAGATACACTAATTATGTTAAAACTCTAGTTCTTCAAAGTAAAGGCATTAAGCTGATAGACTAGTGATCTCTAATTATCTTAATGAGAGGGACCCTCACCTAAGGACTCTTTCTGCATCTTTTGAGGTACAAGGAACCTGGAACCCAGGCAAGGTTCAGAGGTCTCTTTAGATATTAAACCACTCAAGAGTCAGGACCCTGCAGTCACTCCTGTCTTTCAGCTGGACGTGGTGGTCAGGATAAAGCTTCTCCTCTGAATTAAGGTTGAAGGAATCTTTTCGCTAGCTAGCGTAACTCACACCAGACCTGGAGTGGGGTTTCCTGTGCTGGGTAACAGCTCTTGCCACATTAGCAAGTCCCTTAAAGAGGACAAAGGCTGCCTAGCCCTAGGCTTGGGGTTTGATTCCGCACATCAGGTTTCCACATGGAAATGTTGGTTCCATTACAGCCTTGTGTTTTCAAAGCAATGAAGTGGAACCCTGGGGAACAAAAGACTTCAGGGGACAGTGACAATTTCCCCAGAATTCCCACCCTTGCAGGGTTATGCTCTGGGTTAATGTTTTACTCCCCTCTAATGGATTCTTCTGTCATTCACGATACCCCATTATGGTATAGGAGAGCAAGCTTTAAAGGGAAGATTAACTTAGAACTGTGCTCCACGCACACTCCTATTTTGTAGGCTTTTCTTCAAGGTCTGAAAATTTCACGACAGAGACCTAAAGATCTGCTAGTTCATGGTCCTTGTTTTTCAGGTGAATGAGAGAAAACCTGAGAAAGGAAATGAGTCACCCAAGGCGAGAGGGTTTCTGATAGCTCTTTTCCTCACTAATGAACAGAGAGATGTGAGTTTACTGTGGAAGGAGGAAGTCTGCTCCTATCTGCTGAAATGTTTATCAAAAGAGGAGAGAGATGCGCTGGAGCGAACTGGAGATCAAGCTCATTAGGAAGAGAAGGACTTGCACCAGGACAGAAAAGGTAAGTGTTAACAAGGAAGCCCAGAGGTGAAAATATTAACTCACAGGTAAGCTCTGGATTGCTTTCTCCCAGCTCCTGCTGAGGGGCTCGGCGTGGACTGGGGTGACCTTTGCCTTGGAGACTTCCCTGGTCTGTAGTATGAATTCTGCTGTATAACTTTTACCTCTGCTTCACTCTCCTCAAAGTTACACTGTCATTTTCTAAATAATTTCTGTATCCCTTCCAATTTGCTGTATCAAGGTAAAGCTTAACTATTTTGGTATAGTAACTTTTCATTTGTGATACAATAGTAATACAATTTTAAAAACAAATAAACGTCTTTCCTGACTATAGGAATAATTCTTGTTCCTTGTGCAAGATATGGTAACGTAATCTTTACCATAGAAAACTAAAACTTTCCACAACTGTGGCTGACTTCAATAGTGTTTGATTATGTTCCTTTTTAGACTGGTCCTGGCATAGATAGTAACTGTGAGTTCTGAATAAAAAAGCAAAATGAAACAAAACCAGTGCCCCGAGGGCCATGGGTTCTGGAGAAAGGTTGGCATTTGAGAGAAGAGAACAGCAAAATGTGACTTTTCTGGGTTTTTACAGAGCTTGGCCTCAAGGCAGACATATGGGGTAGCTGGAATTGGGTGATTTGCCAGAGAAGCAGAGAATGCCATTCAGTGTAACCACAGCCGCTGGAAAGTGAAGGGGAAATCCTCGCAACAGAAAGCTACAGAAGGGAAACCAAAAGTTCTGTGGGAAGATGATGCTGACATCTTTGTTGGTCTCTGAGCTCTCCATGGATGGGTCACATTCTAAGCAGCTTATTTAAGGGTAAAATAACTGATCTGAGATTTGGGCTACTGCCCAAGAAACAAGAGTTTACAGTGTAAGCATAACAAAGTTACTCACTTGCTGAAAACAAAACAAAGTAGCACTTTTTTGAAGAATGTAACAGAAGTCAAACTCCTACCAAATGTTCACCATGTCTTCAGATACAATCTAAAATTGCTCAACATAATAAAAGTAAAAACATTACCGATTTTGAAGAAAAATGACTCTTGACACTAGAGATGATAAGTTCTTGAAAATAGCATGCAAATATTTTAAAGTAGCTATTGTAACTATACATAATGACATAAAGGAAAATGCACTTCTGGTAAATAAAAGGACGCGGGGGCTGGGGATTTAGCTCAGTGGCATAAGTGCCTGCCTTGCAAGCGCGTTGCTGTAGTCAGGGGTTGTACACAGAGAAGAATTCAGATCAGGACATGGAGTTTATAATATTTTTATAATGGTCACTGGAAATTAACACAGGAGAATGCAGGAAATCTATCCGCAACACCAACGACATAGATTATTTAGTCAAGAGTCTAAACCCCACGGCAATGTCCCACATGAGTCCAGATAAAAACCCAGAGCTCAGAACAAGGCCTCCACGAGTCCAACTGGAGGTCCAGAGCCCACAAGAAGGACACACGCCAGTCTCTTTTACGGATTCGTGCCAGGAAGACCCAAGGGTCATCGGTGGAAGCCAGAAAGTCTATGCCAGCAGGATAAAGGAGCTGTGCTACTGGGATGAGAGTTCTACACTGGAGCCGAGAAGTCACACTCACAACAAAGAGCGGGGCTGTCCTGAAAGCCACCATAGCTGTCCTCAGTGACACGGAGGCCCCGAGCTCCTCCGACAACAAGCACAGCCGGGTACGTTCCAGGAAGCTGCGTGATGAGTTCATCCTGGAGACCAGGCAGCACATGTCTTCCCCTCCGGAGCCAGGAAGCAATGCTCGATGTGAAGACCAAAGCTTCTCCAGGAGAACCAACAGCTCAGACAGCAACTCGTAAGAGAACCCACAATGCCTCCTTTACGCCTCAATCCCTGCCAACACCTTTCTTCTTCTCCACCTATTTATCCTGGCAACCCTCCTCAGGTGAAGCATCTTCTCTCAATGCATGCTGATGTAATCCAGCTGACGTTAAGTTGACCACCAGTTTTCAAACCATAACACGCATGGTCATGAGTTCGATCCCCAGTACTGCTTAAAAAAAAATTAAAAAAGAAAAGACAGGATATTTCGGCAAAGAAGTAAACCCCACTAAGAATTAAACATGAAATTCTTGAACTGAAGATTAAATTATCTGAAATACAAAAACTCACTTTATGGGCGTAACAGGAGGTAGCTTCAGAGGAAAGAGTCATAGGACTTGGAATAAACTTACAGAAATAAACTTACAGAATTAGCTTATAGGCAAATGATTTAAAAAAAGACAAAAAAAGGAAAAAGATCCTCAGATGTCTCTGATAAAATATCCAGATGCTTGTGATATGTACAATAAAAACTCCAGAAGAGAGAAATAAAAGAGGATGGGACAGAAAGAAATATAGTTTTAGAAGTCTCCCAAATTTCTCCAATTTTTGTGTACATTATAAATTTATAGTTGAAAAAATTCAGCAAATGCCAAGTCACAGCACAAACTTCTGAAATCCAAAAATAGTGAGAAAAAGTCCAGAAAACAGCCAGGGGGAAAAAACCCAAATTATGGGTAGGGCAAAAATAATTTTGAGTGACAACTAACTAAGCCCTCATCAGAAAGACTGAGACCAGACGACACTGTAAGGAGCCTCAAGAATAAACAAACAAAAACAAAGCTAAACAAAAATCCCACCACCAAATTCTATAGTCCCCAAAATATTCTTCAATAAATACAATATTCAGATAGAAAATTAAAAGAGAATTCAGAGAGCTTCTTATCAGCAGATCTGCCCCGGAAGAGTTGCTAAAGGGAGCTCAGGAAGAGCGGAAATAAGCCCAGAAGGAAATTTGACTCAGAAAGAAAGGAGAGAGGGAAAAAGGGAGGAGAGAGAGGAGAGGAGGCAAGGAAGGAGAAAAAAGAAGGAAGGGAGGAAGGAGAGAAGATGTAGAGTAGGGAGGAAGAGACAGGGAAGGGGAGCATTAGAATTGGTAAGCAAAATATTGCTGATTATAGTTTTACACAAAACACTGCCACACTAAAAGGTTTACAATGTATACAGATGTAACGCATGTGACAGTTACAGCTAAGGGGTGGAGGGAGCTGAATGCACTTGTTTTGTTGTCTGTGTCTCACTACATTTTAAACGAAACAGCAGTGTTTTATCTAAACAACAGTGGAGGTTATGCAGTATTAGCCACTTGTCAAAGCTGAGTAAATACATACTTCAGACTGGTAAAGTTTACTGTATTTAAATTTTACCTTCAAAGTTCTACAAACAGTATTGAATTCTAGTTAATAATATGCCTGCTGAAATATTTAGAGAGAGATACATAGATACATATTACCTATTTTGAGTTACCCCCAAAATAAGAAAAAAATGCAGTAGCAAAAGGATAGATAGAGGATGGGCAGATGAAGAAAGTTTAGTGAGATTCTGCCGATGTAATCTGGTAGTGGGATACAGTTGTTGACTGACAAATTTTTAATTTTGCTGTAAGTTATAAAATATTTATGATAAAGTGATGATATGAGATTTAAAATCCATTTATAAAGCTTTAATCTGATCCTTTATTTTTATTAACATTTATTATTGACTTTACTAAGACATACATGTCAAATCCAACTGTAAAAATGAACACAGACTTCAGGATGTTCTTAATAAACTCTAAATAAAAGTGACACTTTAAATTTCTTCAGTTAGCAATGTCACTTTTACATTTTGGTGAATTAATATCCAGTAGTTTCAAATATTGATACATATCTTTTTATCGTGATGAATTTGTTATGATGGTATCTTTTTTATAAAACATGAGTTTTAATGGCTAAATTATATGGACATGTTTTATTATTTGACATGAATGAAACAATATGAATAAATTAACCTATTATTTGACACATCCATTGTTTTTGAATTCTCACATAAACCACATAATAAAGTCACAGAGAAACAATCAAGAATTCGCAAAGCAAATGCCTTCTCTGCTTCAACAAATAAAATAAGAAGATAGTAGAGAAGTACTTTTAAAATTCTGATGGAAACAATTTTCAATTCATAATCCAGTACTCAGCTTGTCAATAAGACAAATAATGAAACCTTTTGAAGCCTTTTTTGAAATCGCTGTTTTTACTTAAGGAACATTCAGCAGCCTGATCTCTGACAAAGGGGCCAAAAACCTACACTGGAGAAGAGGTACCTGTTTAATAATTGCTACTGGGATAATTGCCTATACAAATGCAGACAAATCTATTCCGATACATCTCACAGCACTAAATTAAAATCAAGGTAAATCAAAGATCTAGGCATTAAAAGAGAAACAATCTCCGGGAAGGTGACATAGGTGAAATTCCTGAAGGCATAGGCGTAGGCAAAGATTTTCTCAACAGAAGGTCACTTACACAAGATGTAACATCACAAATCCACAAAGGGGATGATATCAAGCTAAATTCTTCTGCGCAGCAAAGGAAACAAGCAATTGAGTGAAGAGACAGTCTACAGAATGAGAAAAAATTTTCTGTAAGATACTCCTCAGGCAGAGGACTAATATCTCTCATGTACAAAGAACTAAAAAAATTAGACCCTCCCAAATAAAAGACTCAGTCAAAACACAAGCAACTGGAATAAATAGACATTTCTCAGGAGAAGAAGTACAAATGGCCAACAAATACATGAAAAGATTTTCCAATATATCTGGCCACTAGAGAAATGCAAATTAAAACATCTTACTCCAGAAAGAGCAGCACCATCAAGAAATCAAATAATACAAAATGCTGGCAAGGCTGCAGGGGAAAGGGAACTCTTCTTCTTTGTTGCTGGTGGGAAAGTAAAGAGCTAGGCTCCTTCAGAATGAATAACAGTAGTGATGCTGGTGCCTCCCTAATTCTCCAGAAATGAACCAAATCACTGCTGGTGCCACAAAGATAAAACAGAGAGGCATACAATAAAAACCAAGTAAGAGCAGCAACTATGTCACCAGTGGTAACAGGAAAGAAATCAGCAACAATACCAAGCTAAAGACCACCTAGATACTGACATATAAGAACCAGTATACTGATACATGCAACAGTATATATCACCCTTACAATGGAAGAGAGTTGTAATAATAATATAGATGTAAAGATAAAGTGAATATTAAAATAAATGTCTACTGACTGCAACAGTATGCAGGTATTAACAATAGAAAATAATTCAACAATAAAAGCATAGTGTCAACTGAGTATCTAAGCGTTAGTGAATAGGAGTACTGATAAAAGTCAAAGGAGTTGAAAGATGTAAAATAAAAGAAGTAAAATTTAAAAACCAGAAAGATAAGGAGCAGATAGCAGTGAGATAAAGTATGTAATTAAAAAGCAAAAGAAAATAAGGTATAAGTAACAGAAAAGAACAAATGAGAAAACATAGAAAAGAAGGAAAACAAAGAGAAAAAGACAAGTAAAATGAAAAGGAAAACCCAGTCCTCCCAAAAAACAACAGAGAAGAAGGGAAAGGAGTTAAAAGACTACTTCCTGGTTTCTGAATGAGTCGTTTCTTTCCAGGTTCTGCATTGTGGGAATCTACCAGACATGGCAGAGGGTCAGCGAGTCTACTGCTAAGCCCTAGCCGGTTTGCACACTCGCAGTTTGGTATGTGAGCGCTGGGCCCTTTCCTGTCTCCCTGCTGGGCAGGATTGGCGATGATATCTGCCTTCTGGCTGCATTCAGGCCAGCTGCTCCCAGTTCCCGCGTCTCTCTGTGTCCCCGAGCACACAGCCTCACTTAGCTTTTGGCTCCCTGGTTTGTGAGGTGTCCCCTTTCTTCTGAAGCTGCTCTGTCCATGCACCCTGGGCTGTGGTGACCACTCAGCTCTGTGCTGGATGCTGGCAGTGGGGCACGGTGTGTGTGTGTGTGTGTGTGTGTGTGTGTGTGTGTGTGTGTGTGTGTGTGGTCTTCTAGAATTAATAATTCAGTGCTTTCCGACTTAGTCCCCTCTAAAAACCACATGTGACCAGCCCAGCTTCTTATCATAAAAGGTGAGCCCTCGGTGTCCTTCCCAGCTCTAGCCTGTCGCCTCTCCATAACTTTCCCTTGAGGCTGTCTCCCACCCAATCACGGCAATAGGGTGAGTCCAGAAACCATGACGTATAAATAGTTGTTCTGTAGTTCAGTCCTGTGCAATCGATCCCTTCCCGAATGACTCCTGATTGAACAAATACGGTGAGTATGGCAGTGAATTTCTTCTCCAACTCTAGCCTGCCAAGTAGAAGGAGTCACTTTCAGAGTGAGCCCCGGGCTGTCTTTGCATTTCACAGTCACTGGAGGCTTTTCTTGGGGCTAGCACTGCTGGCCCTGTCTGTGGCTTCTCCCTGGGGCTGCTGTCTTGTGCTTTCAGGTCAGGTCCTCCCCTGGGAGCTGGGCTCAGCTTTCCAGGCTGCTTCTTTCTTTACGCTGTGTTGTCTTCAGTATCTTTGTAATTTCTAGCTTTCTTGTCAGCTCTTTCTTAATTCCAAGACCTTTACTTGTTTTTGGCTAAATCATTTTTTCTCCTTCAAGTTTCTTTTTGAGACAAGGTTTCATTATGCAGTTCAAGCTGACCTTGAACTTGTTTTATAGCCCAGGCTGATCTCAAAATCACAGCTATCCTCCTGCCTCGGCCTATCTAGTGCTGGAATTTCAGGCATGCCCCACCATGCCCAACCTGATTTTTAATGAGAGATGTGAATGCCCTCTGTTGGTCTGAACTGAGGAACCTCCAGATCACAAGAATGTGTCAGTGGGACTCAGAGCCTGAAATCCCCCTCCTGTGACTCCACATCATTGGCTTTCAAAAGTGGTTTCATCTGCCTGACACTTGGTCCTGGACAGAATTTCTAACATTGTCCCACACCCTGCTAGGGTGCTGTCCGCAGACGCTGTGGTAATGAACAGCTGAAGTACTGCTGACTTGAGCCATGAAAGCAGGACAGCTCTGAAGGCTGCTGACCATTGCATGGCTGGGAGGGACCTCACAGTTACCCACTGGACAAAGACTTTAGAAAGGTTTCATGGAGACTGTTGTACATGGCATAGGATTGGAGAGGATGACTCTGAATTCTCCCCAGCCCGAGAGCCTGTGAAGGAATTTCTTCCTCAGGCCCTGTTTTGAATTGCTGCTGGCTGGTTAGCATCTGGAGACAGTGTTAGTATCTCTGGACAGGGCCCAAGGAGGTTCCCAAAGTGGAGATGACATACCAAAACCTACCAAACACAGTTATTTATATTAGTTTTTGATGTTCTTAGGTATTCAATATTCATAGGTACAAGTCTCAGTCTACTGTTTCTCCTGGTGTTTGTGTCTCTGCGTGTTCTCTGAGAGCCCAAGTGCCTTGGGCCTTTATCCTGAGAACTTTACCAGAATCTGGGTTTAATTAAGTTGCGTTAATCTACAAAGAATGATGTTTGCTTTTGTGATCTATCTAGAGGCACTTGCAGCTCAAGAATGCTTTAATTATATTTTTTGTGTATCCCATAGAATTTCAGCTTCAGATTGTGATTCAGGTTGAAACTTTAGGGTGGAATTTTCATCTTCCTCTATTATTGACAGCTAAGTTAAACAGAAATTAATGTAAAGGGATTTGGCTTCTGAGGAAGTCCCAAGCATGCCTCCTTAGAGATAAATAACAGCTTGAGATGATACTGTAATTAGCACTGCCTGGCCCGGTGAGCCCAGATAGACATCAGATAAGCAGGCAGGCGGGCAGAACCCCTGGACCCATCCCTTTCCAAGGATTCCTTTGTTCTTTTCATGCACCTTTGAGGTGAGCCTCACTTCCCAACTGGGTCAATATGAGTGAAACAACCATGTTTCTGTTCCTATGGCTGATTGTAGTTTGACCTGCATTGTACCCATGGTATGATTTTGCTGTATAAATTACACTGACCGAGGGCACCGGGGGTCACCTGGTCAGGGCAACTCCTGGAAATCCAGGAGCTCTCCTCCTCCTCCTCCTCCTCATTTCCAATCAAACCATCCTGTCTTCCTCCTTTGGTTTGAGACTTCACCCCTTGATGCTGTGAGATCAGGAACTTGGCGTATCTGATGGGTAGCAGATTGGGAGTGTTTCTCCCATATCACTTCTGCCCCAGGCTGTCTGAGGCAGGCCAGCTTCTGTACAACTTGCCTCGATGGCGTTTTTGGTTCTTTGGTCTTGTGTTGCCCACCAGGGGTGTCACCTTACAGGGCTCTTGCTTTGTGTGGAGGTCTCTGACCCTGCTTGAGGTTTCTCTTCTGTGTCCCTGGTCCTAGGCGACCAGGGACTGGCATGTTTTCAGGACAACTTTCAGCAGCAGAGCTCGCTTACCCTCTCTATGCAGCTTTTTTGTGATTTGGGGTCTCCAAGGATTTCCCTAATGTTTTTTCTGTACCAGCCCCTCACGGAAGGATTTGTGACTTCAGGGACCACATACGTGCACAAATATGCATGAATATATGCAAGTTTTATTGTCCTACAATGTATCCGGAGTGAATTTCTAGCTTTCTAGATGTTATCTAGTAGATTGAAAGAAGTAGAAATACTTTGCTTTTTTCCACACTTTATTTCTGTCTTTTACTTCTCCACCTCTCCTCTTTTCTGTTGTCTGTCTTAATTTCCCTTCTTTTCTAATTATTCCATTTTTGTTCCTGGTCATTCTATTTTTTTCACGTGACTTTGACGTTTTCTTTCTGTTTTCTCATATCTTTATTCTTATTTATTTTATTATTACTTTTCTTTTCTTTCTTTGTGGTCTTTCTTGCCCTTTATCCTTTCTCTCTCTCTTTTTTTAAGTCATTCCTGCCATTTTTCAACAGAGGCTAAAAATGGGCTCATGATGTAATACAAAATCTATCAATGTTTATTCAGAAAATAAGTATAGCAATCACTAATTAAAACAATAAGGTTCCATGTCATCAGAATGGAATATGCATTGACTAGCATGATCTTCCTATAAGTGCTCAATAAATGTGTTTTGCTTTCGAACGGAACCTCATTAAGGATTATGGCTCCGCGGTAAGCACACCGTGTGACGGAAATGATGCCAAGTGGACCGTACCTGGGACCCCGTCAGGCCTAAGCCGAGGTGACAGAGAAGCCGATGGAATGTTAATTGAGAGCAGCTGGGAGGCTGGCACCCTCCAGCCACAGGAAAGGGCCAAGGATCTCTCAGCCAGCGTCAACCGTGTATTTATCAAAGACCCCAGAGACTTTTTAATGAGAGTGACCTCTGGTTGAAATTACAGTGGAGGGGAAAAAAAAGATAGTAATCTGGGGGCCTTAAGTCCTGGCAGAGTTTCCACTTAATACCTACTGACTCAGAAAATGAAAGGCATGGAATTCTCCTCATGGGGACTTGGCCGTAATAATTTCAAAACCCCTTAGATGGGCTCAGACTCGTTGGTTAGCAACACGGGAAAAACAGGCTCCGAGGAGAAGTAAGTTCCCACACTGAAAATGCCAGGGTCTCAGCTGACCCTGAACAGGTAGTGGCGATTGGATATTTCTCTTTGAGAGGGACCCCCGAGGCCCTGGAATGGACGGCTGCTCGGTGTGGATTTGAGGGGAGAAAGGTGAGTATTTCTGGATCCCAGCTGGCTATGTATCACTGAAGATCTCCCATGATGTGAAACTACTCAAGTTCATACTGGAATAAAATCACAAAGCCAAACCTTACTGCAGGTTCCCGGATGTGTGTGTGGGCCCCTTCCAATCTCATTTTGGAGCCTGAGATTTCCCTAAGAGAAAGTAGGGGTCACTTTGTCCGCTGTCGAGGTCTCTGGTCTGTGAATGCACAGGTAGGCATGTGATTTAATTAAACTACGCTCCTTAGACTTTGAGTACTTTGGAAGTGGCAGGGTATGACAGTGTTTAGCTCTTGTTCCTGTTCACCCTCCCCAACACACGCTTCCAGTTTCTATGCATTTTTAAAGTACATTCCCAACATTACTGCATTTTATCTGTGAACACTGTAGAATCCTTGCCACTCTTGGAAAGGGTCAAGGTTCCATACGGTTGGTCTCAGACAGGGTGCTCGGATATGAAGCTGGTCCATGACACTCTCTTTCCCTACTGATGCTAATAGGTGCATCACGAACACAGTGCCATCCTGTACGAAGTTCTGGGAACGGTGAGCCTTTGGGGCTGCCTGGCTTTTTCCTTTCTTTGCCTCTAAAGGATGAAGTGACTTTCCTTTTGCATGTGTTTTCCCCGCATACAAAAGTTTTTCCTCTGGATAAAGAGCCGTTCATTCAGGAGACAAATTGCTGTTTTCATTCTTGGAACCTGAAAGTCATGCTTTCGTCAGAGTAATACCTGGAATCATTTTTATGTTGTAACTATTAAAGAGTATTTGTTTAAGTTGTGGATTCTACTTCTTCATAAAGATTCTCAAGAAATGGACAAAGAAGGCATACGGAACAGACAGACCTACTTGGGAGTTAACCAGCCTCCTTTTCTGTAGAAGTTACGGGAAAGGTAAGGGTAAGGTCCATTACTGTGCCCATCTGCTATAAATCGTCACCTGCTATGGTAACCTTCAGACTGGAGGATTTCATGTACTCTTTCCAAGCTTGCAATCCAAAAATGTTGATCGCTTGTAGTTGGACTCAAAACTAAGTCTTGAGATTTATGTGGATGTTAGAGAAGAAACAGATAAAGGAAGTATATTACACCGCCTCTGAGATCTCAGGTGTGCGGAGGAAGGACTTTTTGTGAGGAAGGGGGCCCTG